TTCTTGTGGCCCTGCTTCCATAGCATATCAGTGGAGAGCCAAGTGCATTCAAAACCAAAGCATATATTTTTGTACTCAGAGGATTAGAGAACTCTCACCCCACCCATTTATGCTGCCCTCCCACACTCAACTTTGCCCCCTAAAATTTGCATGTCAAAATAATAAATTACTAGGAGATTATAAATTCTCCTTTCTTGTTCAGGGATCAATTTCTAATCATCTCCTAGTAAATTGTTATTTTGACCTTTGCATATAGTTTAGCACATTATAGGAGGCAAAGTAAAATGTGGGTAGGGTCAAATGGGTGGGATAATAGTGAGCAATGAAGGATTATATTGCAGAGAGGAACAGACGATCTTTTAATTGTTCGTCTCCATTTATTCTGTTTGTTGATTTTTGTTAAAGATTCAGAATTTTTGTAAAGAAAGTGTAATAGTGACTTTTACATGTTAATTGGATTCACTGAAACATACTCTTGACTTTAATTCTTTTTTTACCAAAACGTTTTGATTTTGAATATATATATATATATATATATAAAACAGATAAGAGTGAAGCAACTTCTTTTATCAAATCTTTAAATGTTTTTAAAAGGCAGTCTTATTTAGTAACACACCATAACAGAAAAAAATGACAACACTCTGTCAATTACCCAATAAATATTACAACTATGATTCTCACCAAGACTAAGCAGTCTTTCTGAAAAGGACAGTGTATCAAGGATTCTCTCAGTGCTCATTAGTATAACTATCTCATTTTCTCCAAGGAAATTATCTTTGAACAACATATCACACTGCCCTTGGAACCATCAAACTGACATTTGACAAAACTGCAGAAGGCTACTAAGTTAAATTTAAAATCCCCTTAGACCTTGCCTTGCTCATCTCATTGAGCTTTAACCTCCCATGGAAACAATTAGGCAGACCAACAGCTAAGGCTGGTGGGAAAATTTCTTGCATTTCTCAGTATATTAAAATCTGTTCAAACACATACCATCCTACAGTTTGTCTATATACAGAAATGGAGGAGGGGGTTGCAATGTACAGTAACCTAAATGAGAAATATTAAGTTGGTTCATTAAAAGTTCAAAAGAGCTGTTTCTTGTATTCAGGGCTTATTTTATTTAACAGATTGAAAACATGTAATTATTTCTATAATATATTGTATTCTCTAGTCTGCCATCAGCATAGAAGAACATTATGTTATCATTTAGACACCACATTCTCTAACAACCATAAAGCAAAACAAATAATTAAAAAACACACTTAGCAATACACTGATTAATATAACTGAATAATTAAATACAGCCATTTCCTAAGTGAAGCTCTGACACTAATGATTATACAAGCCTGGAAACTTAAATGCAATCACTGGAATCCGTCAATAAACCCACATTGTACTCTAGTAGCCTTAACCAAAACTCGAGGGACAAAATTTGGCAGAGTTAGGACAACAGTTTTCTTTAAGAAGGTCAACTACTCTTTTAGGTCAATATAACAAAACAGGAATCACGCCCACAACGACAGGACAGATATTTCCACACACCAATCATTAAATACCACAAAAATTAAATACATGGCAATAATATTGCATGATATTCTTTCTTTAACTTTTATATTGCAGATGACCTTTTCAATATATGTTGAATATTTGCTGACACAAATGCTATAACACCAACATTAAAATATTAAATTCATCAAAGGTTATCCCAAAATAAGCATCTCAAATTCATTTCTGGATGGAATAAAAAAGAAAACTACCGTTTTTCAAGTGTAGCAATAATAAGCAACCAATGATTTCCAAATAAATTGTTTCTTAATGATTGTTTGAATCCTTGGATTTAATTACTATTCAGCCTATCTTCTCTAGAACCTGTCTATATTATGCATACAATAAAGAAGAAACTAAATCAGTGTTCATCCAGTTTACTAATGCTATTGACTGCAAACAGAACAGGATAATGATGAGATTCAAATTTCACGAAAAGCGAACTACATATGTAAAGAAATGCAATCAGCTTTAGTTGGAAAGTGATTTATAAAAGCTAAGCTTAAACATTGAAAAAATGCTATATGTGAAGTTTTAAGTAACAAGTATCTTCTCCAAAGATTTCAAAATTGCCAATATTTATCCAGACTACCAAGATAGAAGACTAAGTTAGAGGCTGATGTGAGAAAGATAGTGATTTGTGACAGGGTCATCCTTGTAGGGCTAGGAATGTGCAGAACACTTTTCTGTCTGAGGTTACAACTTGGGGTCTAAGAGGCCTGCAACCTAGTTAATATTTGTCCTCCATAAAATTGCATCCACAATTCCCTCCTCTTGGATGCTAATCTGCAGCAGTAACCCCCCTTGGAAGTGGGCTGAGTGCTCAGTAGTGGAGCTAAGATACAGCATCTCTCCCAAAATGATCATCTGGCCCAGCCTCAATATACAAAGAATAATTTGGGGGTAAAAAGTGTGAATTAGCATAAATGTAGGCTTTCTGAAATTTTCAGATACGGACATTTACAAAGGCAGACTGAAGATACTGCCATAGCTCTATCTGAATGTGACATCAGGCCTTCCGATACCTGGAACTTTGCCTGAGAATGAAAAACCTGTATATCCCAAAATTATCTACCTGGGAAACCTCTGCATTGAGATGGGCTCATCAGTCTGGATGATTTGTGGGGGGTGGGAGGGAAGTTCTATCTAGATATTGTCTGAAAGCCTGCCTTAGTGAATGGAACAAAGCTGCTCAAATAAACCATGTGGTATGGGGAAGAAAACTAGTAGACAAATGGACTAGTTTATGTGGAAGTCAAGAGACCACTTTTAGCAAAAACCTTGTATGAGCTTGAAGCACCACTTTTTCCTTAAGAAAAATTATGAATAAGAGACGAGTTTAAGAGCAAGAAAGTAGTTTATACAACTCTCAGGAGACCCCCCCAAAAATTAAAAAAAACACATCCCAGGACAACAATTACAATAGCTGTTTTTACTATAGCTGTGGAGGCTTGGAGAAAGGTTTAAAGGAAGGGATAATCAATCACCTAGGGACCAAAAGCCCACAAAGCCATCGGATCCTTCAACTTGAAGTAGGCTTTTAAGAAGCCCTTCTTCATTCATTTCCAATGGCAGGAGCCATTCCACAGGAATGAAAAGGAAAATATAGCTGCCAGGTGTATTTCAGAGACAATAAGTGTGAGCTAAATTTCATTAGCCAAACCGTATATTGCAAACTGGAGGATATTGAAATAACTCAAGGCAACAATGGTTTACTGGAAGCCCAAATAGAAAACTTTTTCCACATTAAAACGTAAGTGTTATGCTTGGAAGATTTATGGATTTCCTAGAGCATCTAACACTTCATGGGAAGCAGAAAAGTTTCTACAGCTAAGAGCCCAGAATCTACACTGCTAAGTACAGAAAAGCAAGACCTGGGTGTGGTATCACTCTCAGTCCCTTTCAACTAGAAGTGGTTGAAAATTTTCTGAAAATGATGATTAGACTATATAAAATGTTTAGAAGGAATGAATCAATTTTGTCAAAATTGACAATGAAAAATTATCAAACCGTTTCACTCTGAAAAGGTCAAAGTGCTTCATTTCGATAAGTGTTTTGTTTATCATTTCAACTTTATATTAAGTTAAAAAATTGAAAGAAAACACTTTGACCTTATCAGAATGAAACATTTTTAAAAGGTAATTTTGATATTTCCCACATTAATTTTTTTTTTGGAATTTCATTTCACAGGAAATTTTGAAATTATGATTTTTGTTCCAATTCTAGACAAAGGAAAATTTCAAAATGTCAGCATTTCCACTGGAACAGAAATTCTGAGTTTCAACCAGGTCTACTTTCAATAGCAAGCACAAAATTATAGAATAAAATATGAGAGGCAATTTAGTTGTATGTAAATGTGATAGGGATACTGTACAGTAAGGTAATTGCAGAGCTACCTGAATTTACAAAGGATTTGATTTCAAAGCACCTCTAACTGAACTTTTGAGAAAGAAGCTATAGAATTCCTTTGAGAGGGTTATAAAAAACATCTGCCGTACAATCACCATGAACTCATCTGTCTTAAATAGGCATCTGAAAGGGGGCTAAATCATCTGGAAAAGTACAGTAAAAATTCTTTCTGCATCTAAGCACCGTGACACATAAAGCCAGTTCCCAGCTAAGTATTTTCTTCAACTTCAGCTATGATAAGTAATGGAAAATAAATTTAAAAAAAAATCAAATTTTCTATTGCATGCTGTTAATAATAAGGACCAAGCACATAATGCTTATTTCTAGAGTCCCTGTTATTTTGATTCATTGGCTGATATAAATAAGTATTATTTTCTTGGAGTATAGGAATGGGTGGTAAAAAATGTCTATTACTTATTTTCTTATTATTGTTGACTAGAGCTGGTTGGGAATTTTTTGATAAGAGCTTTTTCATTGGAAAAATGTCCATTTGTTGAAATAAACTTTTCTTAGGAAAGGGTCTCATAGTTGTATCAGTTACTCACATCGTTTGAACCAGTATATGGCACTGTATGTAAATGATGAATTCCTTAATAACAATAAAAACAAATTTAAAAAAGAAAAAGATCTTCACACAAAACAACATGTGGATTCAATATGTGGCTAAACCACTTTTTCTTAGAAATTTTTTTCAAAACATTGTGATTTATTAAAATAAAATGGCTTAAGCTACAATGTTAACGTAGCTGCTCTACTACTGCCAGAATGTTTGTTGTATGGGAAATGTATAACATTGTTTTAGTCCCATCATTTTACATAGTGCTTTAGAAAATGATGATTGAGCTTGAAACACAACTGGTAACCTTCCAATACTTTCTGACAACAAAATTATCATATGAAAAAACAAATTCTGAATGTATAATGAAAACGATGAAAAATAAATTGTAAGAGAAAAACCATTTAAGAAATGTATTATATCAATGAGAAGATCAAGCTTAGCTGAACAGAGAGTGATGTAACAGAAGAGAGCAGAAGGTACTGACCTGGAAGTCAAGCTTGTTGGAGCAGGGGTGAAAGCAGCAGTTTGGAGAATAAACAGAAAGGAAGGGAGATAGCAAAAGAGAATAAAGGGAGGATAAATATTAGTTTTTTCCAACGAATAGTGAGATGTTATATCAACAGTCTTTATTTTAAAAAAGCAGTAAAATAAAACTTCTGTATAGTATTTCTTTGATGAGCAAGGACCAAACAAAAACTTAAAAGCAAAAAAGTCACCTAGTCATTTATGGACTATAGAAAACTATATATGTTTATGAACTCACAGTGTACATATACAAATTGTAGTTAATAAAATAGGTGGCAATTCTTAAGGCATTTGTTTGGCAGCCTGCAGTAATTGTCATGAAACCATTTGAACCAGTGGGGATGACCCACATTCAGTATTTCGTCTTCATCCGTGACAACAAAAAACCTAAACAATTTGGCTACAGGTTCAAAGATTTTCATTTTATAGGTTCAAAGTATTGCACCTAACAATGATAAAAGATATTGCTTCCGTGTCCCCCCCCAGGAAATACAGTCCCTTTCAAAGCTGAGAGCAATTTTTTTTCACTCCTGAGAATGAGGTTAATACTTCATCATTGAAAATATCCAGATGCTTGATAACTTATTTGTACAAAAATATCTAACGTGCCCTTTCAATTAGCCAAGACAAAAAAAATCCCCATCTTATGCCAAACTAGAATAATTCCTAGAGTTGTCACAGCTGCACATTGTTGCATTTATTTATGAAAGACAATTTAAAAAACAAAACAAAACAGAAAAATCGCTTTTGACAGCTATTCGGCATGCTGGTTCCTTGTATTTCACATACTGAATTATGTCAGTGCTGCACGGTTTGAATGCTGGCAATTTTTATAGTGTAGCCATCACTTTTGTTTCCATCTCAATTCACTACAAAAATACCCATTGAAATAAAGTTTTAGACTAAATCCCACAAAAGTCAGGATATTTGAAATTGAATATTCATAACTGTGCCTCTCGAAGGTGGTATGTGCAAACACACAGGTGCAGGTGTGAAGTGGATAATTACATGCAGAAAAGAACTGCAAATTGTGGGCTAGAATAGATTGTGCCACTTAATCAAAGCCTGGAGTGAAAGGCATGATGCACTATACCATTCCAGGTGATCACAGGGGCATTCTGCTCCAAAGAGGCAGAATTGCTCCCTGGAAGAACCCAATTGTGCTATGGAGAGTACAATATGATCCTAGCTCTGCTGGGTGATGTGGAGTCGGTAGACTGCTTGTCTATCTTCCCAGTGCAGGAAGAACTAATGCCACTCCCAAAAGTATATTCAGGACTTTCCTTCAGGGCACAATTTTATTCTTCAAATACAAAACTCACACACACACACACACACACACACACACACAAAGCTATTCCCCTGAATAAAGCAAGCTGGAGAGGCCCACAGGCCTTTCACCTTGAACCTCTACTCCCTACTCTAGGGACAAGCCACAGGAGCTAACTTTCCTGCAACACTCCTCAACTGACCCCTTCTCAGTTAGGGCTGATATAGGAACAGACCTGACTGGCCGCAGGCCCTTAAAGAGGGTGGATTGATGGCTTTTGGGTGACTTGCTCCCAGGAAGACCGGCAGCGCAGCACAGAGGCCATAATTCTGTACTTGTATTAAGAGGACCCTATCTTCCCTACTGCATAGCCACCTAAGGACCAGCCCCAGTCTAGCTCACCACAAAGGATTTCTGATGCAAATGCTGTCAGACTCTTGCAATAGTACTGCACATATTTACTATACAGTTAAAGTCCCACAAAGAGAATATAATCAAATTGCAGCTAAGAAAATGCTCCAGCAGTGTCTTTGCCTCAAAATAATATGTCAGAAATCTTTGTAATTCCTAAGGACTCTGCTAAGTGGCTGGATTCAATTTAACAAACTGATTAACCAGTCTACATTTTCCTCTCTGGCGTAACTCCAGGCTTTAGGGATCTGCATCACGATTTACTCTCTCATCCCCCCCTCCATCAACCTGATGGCACTTCACTCTTTATCCAACATCAAGCTGGAATGACTCAAGTATATACCTGCAGATTGCCAGACGGGTTAGTCTGGGGCTGTAGCTCATAGAAGCAACACATAACTGGACAAAACTGTGCTTAGACCTGTTTTATCTGTTAAAAATCAACATGTGCCTGATCTGTTTCTGCTTCCCTCAGGGGTGGTCCTCCAAACCTCTGTTGGAGCTTAAAGACCTACCATTTCCTAAACTGGTTTCTTCTGCATAGTAATTGAGCTGATTTGGGGCATACATTGCATAGTTGCTTAAAGTGATTCATGGAAAGGGCTGTCCAAGCAGAAGCCCTCTCCAAAAAGAAATTTGTTATTAATCTAGTCCATTTCCTTTGTGGACTTTTCTTCAAATACCCTCCTCCATGGGATGGAATTTATCATTCTATGAAGCGTGCAGGGCTCTTTAAACAAATAGAGTCCAGACATGTGCAGGAAACTGTTTATAATTCCCAAATCCTGAGCTACAAATGAGCAGGGACAGCCTCCCTATGCTGCTTTTTAGCTACACACACTGTAGTGTGAAGACAAACACGAAGAGGCATGCTTTAAGTAGCAACTATAGAATTCCCTGAACTGGAAGTTCCCTCATTTATTAAGCTCCATGATGCAACATATACTGTTACTGATTGGTATGTGTAGAGGACCAGGAATTCTATAACTACTGCACATCTTCCTTTCTTTATAATAAATTGAAACTTAAATCATAAATCAGTGTTTATACATACAATTCAAAAGAAACTTCCAATTCCTCAAAACTATTTACACTACTATGTCCCTTTGCCAACCCCATTTAAATAGTCCAGAGCAATATTCAAAAGATCAAGCCTTTGAGGGGGTCTGATCAATCTTCCAGACCATGGTCTCACTTTTGCTGAGTTTGCGTGTGCAGTTCTCTGGGGGAAGGAGGGCTCACTTCGTGACAGAGTACCTGCAGGTCCCAGATCCGCTCCTTGTTGTGTTAGGAAATATTTAAGATGAACCAGATTCTTTCAGAGAAGTCCTTTTGGAGTCTCCACTAGGTAGCATCTGGGAGTGTCTGCCTGGTTCTGAACAGTTCCAAATTTCTGGAAACTTTTAAGCCAACCATTGCTCCCTGGTCTCAGTTCAGGTAATGCTTTTGTTCTGTGCCAATCACTGAAGTTTTGTTGCTGCTTAATTTTTATTTCAGAATCCCATTTTCAAAATTCCTTCAGGTTGGGCTATTTAAATTTAAGCATATTAGTACCATAGATACAGCCATCCTTAGTGGTCTTCGCAGCAAATGTTTTGCTGGGAATAGACCAGACACAAGTGATGTTGACTGCTAGGCCATAAATGCTTTATACAGGTCCATTATTTTTATATAGGTCTTTTTAAAATCTGCACTGCTCTCTCCACCTCACCATTGCTCTGGAGGAAATGTGGACTACTAGTAAAATATTAAAAATCAAAGTCCTGTGCGAATGGTAGGCATATTTCAGGGATAAATTGACACCTATTATTTGATGTGGAGACTTCAGGAACTCCATGTTTTTCAAATATTCACTTCAGTCTCTGGCTGTCCTGTACTGAGGAAGTCTAAGAAAGTATAGCCAAGTCAATATACTCGGAAAAGTAATCAACTACAATAATGTGTGTCCTTTTCAGAGAAGCAAATATGTTGTTACCCACTGTCAAGCTCTGTCAGGTAGTTTTGTAGAGAGTAATAGCTCTGGAGATTTCCCCCTGCCCCTTGTTTCATACCCCACAGCGCTCTACTAAAATCTGAATTTGCCCATTCAGACTGGGTCACCACTCGGACTGTTGTGTTCATGCTCTGACTTGTTTATTCCTTGGTGTCCTGTATGGATTTTTGGAGAGAATCTCTTTCTGTAGTACTGTAGAGATAAAATTGTTCCATCCTTTCAGAAGCAGGCCATCAGCCCTAACCAGGTCATTACATTCCTGCCAATACAACAGTAGGTCTGTTGGAAGTTGACTCTGAGCCCACCCTCTTTGTCAGAGTTAAGTAAATTTCTGGCAAGTCTTATCCTTTAGTTGTTCATCTCTAATTAGCTGAAGTCAGCTGACAGATGCTGGATTTGTTGCCAGAACAAAGTCAATGTAGACTTTGACGTCTTTCTCTAAAGTCTTTTCCTTTTTCATTTGGTGGCTGCTTAATCGGGGTTCTAGATAGAGTGTCTACTGTTATGAGAGCTTTCCCTAGTACATGATCAACGTTCAAAGAAAATTGCATCAGCTGTAGTTGAAATCTTTGAATCTTAGGTGGAAGATCATCCAGTGGTTTTGAATCCACTAAGGGCTTATGGTGTGTTTCTAGGTTCAAATCCAAGCTGAACAGATATGCACTGAGCTGTTCACAGACCCAAGTGTCTGGTAGTGCTTCCTTTTTCACTTGGGCATACCGCTGTTCAGTTTCTGAGAGGCTCCTTGATATAAATGCAACAAATCTCTGGTCTCCTTCTGGCTGCTTTTGTTTGAGTTCTGCTCCTAAACCATATGACAATGCATCAACTGCTACTGTTGATGGGTAGTTTAGAGTATTGTGCCAAAACAGGTGGAGAGATCAGTAGTTCTTTTATTTTATTAAATGCATTTTGTTGTGTGCAGATCCAGATCCGCAAATTGTGAGCATTATGGAAATCCCTTAAGAGTTTTGTTACATGAATAAATTTGGTAAGAATTTCCCAAAATGGTTTGTCATGCCCAGAAACCTTTTTACACCAGAAATGTTTTGTGGTTTGGGTAAGGCAATTAATGCTTTCAGTTTGTCTGAATCTGGCTGAATTCCCTGTTTGCTAATTATGTGTCCTATAAACATAATCTGCTCCTTTCCAGATTCACATTTCTTATTCAGAGTGAGTCTGGCTTCTTGAAAGCATCTCAAAACTGTGTGTAGTCACTCATCATGTTCATTTTTATCTCTGCAATATACCAACACCTCATCTGCATGGAAAAGGATGCCAGGAAAACCTGACAATC